CGGTGTTGCCACGATGTGACAGAAGTAAGGGTTCGAATCCCTCCGAGTGAAGAACAAATATTTGCCAACGCATATTTGAAGATCTAACATTGTTTGGATAAATTTGAGACGAATTATATATGTATTATGGTGTTAGCCCTGTATAACCACGTGTTATCCGATGTAGAATGTCTGTCATAAAGTTGTCATATACAACTAATAGTACCACTAGTCAATGGATAGTTGACTCTCGAAACAAACAGTAGCACAAAAAATCTGGAAGAAAACTGGGGAACTATATTCGTAGACCGCGAACAAAAGAAATTAATCATGGTCTGGCACTTGAATGTTAACAAAGGGAGACATTCACATTACCTGGTTTGTCTTTTCTTGAACACACTTTCTTAAGGAGGAAATTATATTTGCGTTGTTTTGGAGAGAGTGATTGTAAGTGCCATTTTAGCAAATGTCTTGAGAGCTGTGCTCTCTATAACGTGAAATGATTTCGAAATGAGTGTTTGCTGCTCCAGTCGTGTTCAATACAGTTTTGCTGTTGCTGCTGTTTAAGGGTTGTACATTGCTGCTGCTGCTACTGATCAGGGGTGTATTGTTTGGCTTTTGGTTTGTTATTTTGCTTGTCCAACGTTAAATGTGTGGAGTGGAATTGAGGTGGGGAAGGGTGGTGATTTGTTTTTCATTTTGGCATACAATAATCGGTTCTGCTTCAAAGTGTGACATTTATTGCCCCTCGGTATCATCATACAATCTCGAACAACAGGGATACTTATACCAAACAACAGATTTGGAATTGATTAAAAGTTTGCAAGGTTTACTTTATGACATTTCTTAAGCTTCCTTTTCTTGGTCTCTGATTTCAACTTTTGATCTGATTTGGTTTTTAATGATTTTCTCAACGCAATGCATATTTTATGAAATCTCAGATAACAGGTATATTAATGTTCTACAACATTTGCATAGATAACCTCGATGTTATACCTACAATGGCGTCATATCTACATTGCGTAAACGGACAATCGAGGTTCACAAAATGTATGATTGTTCAACCTATTATTTCGCCACAAGCTCCCTGATCCCGCTTTTTTCCTTTAATTTCATACGATTCCCTGAGTTTGTCTTTGTCACCTTGATTTGTATCTCTTTAATCGAATAATGAGATTTTAACATGTGGTTATATAGAACATTCAAAAATCATTTTTGTTTAGAGGACTACTTAAAATATAGTTTTGATATTAATTGACTCACTAAACTATGTAGTGGAACATTCAAACTGAATATAAAAGTTGGTCGTTTTGACAATATTTCAAGTAAAAATCGTATTTGTACATGTTGTTATGTGAATTGTATAGAGAATGAGTATCATTTTGTATTAGTATGTCCTGCTTTAAGAGCTTTGAGGCTACAGTTTTTATCTAAATATTAATGTTCATAGCCAAATATTAGAAAGCTTGTATTTCTTTTGCAAGCTAGCTCAAAGAATTCAACCGAATAATTGTGTCAATTTCTAAATGCGGCATGGGAGCTAAGATCAACAATCATAATTGCATAATAGTTGTATTTCTGTGCTTGTCATGATTTATTTTTTTGTTCTCTGATATGTTATTTGCTAAAGCATTATGTTTGCTTCTGCAATACAATTTTCATTCATTCATTCAACTGCTGTTGCCTAAAATAGAGCATCAAAGGATATATAACTTGTAATTAAATGACTTGATTTCGAGAATTAATTTTATCTACAATAAGTCATTGATCATCCGAGCTAACATATCGTTGGTCATATGTGATACAAATTTTTCATAAAGGTCAATCAAACTATGACTGAGTCCTCAAGTTTACCATTTGAAATCATGTCAGTACTGAGGTACTCAAACATTAAATGATTTATTTCTCGCTGATATTTAACTTTTGTTTTGGCTTTATTTCGAGATTGTAGTCTAATCGATAACAAGTCAGTGATCATTCGAGCTTGCAATCGATTAATTACACTACATGTTCTGGGTGCATATAAATACATGTTCTGGGTTTAGTTATATGCATTTAGTTTAAGCTGAACGATTGGAAACACGAGTTGTGTTTCAAACGGTAAGAATTATACCTTAAAGACATATGTTAATTACATATAATCTATGTATTGTATAAAAGGCCAGTGTCCTTTATTTATTTCTCAAGTAACTACTGTTATGACATCTTTATATGAAAATGTGTATTTAATGTAGATTGTTATTGATGCCACTCTTAAGAACACCTTAGGTATTTTGAATGATTTAACCATAAGATGAAATACCGCAAAATCGTCATCTCAAAGAACAATTATATAATGTAATTTGTACGCATAATTTAGGAATTTTTGGTCGTCAATGCTCTTCAACGTCGTAACTTGTCTGTCCGTCACTGATAGGTCTTTTTCAGACGAACTGGCGTACAAAATTTCGATCCTTGTATCTTTGATGAGTTTATTTACAAACACTAGGTCGATGACACTGCTGGTTGAGTGTTTCTTCCCGAGGGAACAACCAGCCCAGGAGTCGGCACTTCGGTTTTGACATAAATTATCATTGATAGGGTCATAATTATCTGATGGTACCGGAAGGGATTTTTTTCCAAAGGAAGTTGCAATTTGTTTTCCTTATTTCAAGCGAAAGTATATGGAAACCATACATTTTTGGAATCAGTGTGAATAAAGCTATTATACGAGACCAGAAGTGATATTTTCTAAACCGGTACTAGCAAATTATCTCAAATATTTCTGACAAAAGTACATAAAAACCGTATATTTTTTGAATCAGTATGATGAAACCTATGATAGGACACCAACAGTAACTTATGAATTATAAATTTAATGTGGAATGAGAACAATCGGTTTAAATTGTATTGATGGCTAGTTGAGGTCACTTTATCTATTTCTATTGGCAATCTAAATCACACTTATGTATGTGGAGGGAAATCTCTTTGTTCTGTAAACGTATTTCTTTGATTGAATTTCACATGAAGGCAGATATTTTGACTTGTACTGATTCATTTATATTCTGATGTTTATTTAGGGCTTAATACTCAGTTAACGTTTTACTTTGTCACCATATTCTTCATTTAGGTGTTAGCATGTTTTGATGAGTTTGTTTGATTCCATCCTATGAAGAAATAATATTGTTTTGACCTTCGCATGTAAGGCTGTGTTCATACCAAACGTCGTGTACTGTAAACCTAATTGCAATTAGCTTCATGTCATGAACACTAGTTTCACATTTAATTTGGTCTCATCTATACATCGGTTTTTATAACTTGTACATGAATATAATATTGTTTACACCAGTAAACAACATCACATAGTATTGAATTACAAATGTCTCAGTTAGGTGCAGACCATTTTAAAAGTTTTTTTATTATTTTTTTTTGGGGAAGGGGGGTGGGTTTAAATTGTTTTAATTATTTTTTTGTTTTTTGTTTTAAAGAAGAAAATACATTTGTTTCATAGCAGAAGTGAGAAAAATCGTATGATTCCATTGCAACATGTGAAAATGAATAAGCATGCGATTCAACATGGAGTTTAAAAAATGTTCCTGAATGTTATTGATTTTGTTTTTGTAGCAAAGTGATGAAAATGGTTTGTCCAAAAATAAATGGCTATAGTACCTTAATATACTCGTTCTAATGTTCTATATAAGTCACGATAAAACAGGCTAAATAGCATAACAACAAACGAAAAAAGGATTTTGAATATTCATCAGCAAAAATCCCAATCCACCATCCCCTATCCCCCATTCGACTGAAAATCAAATGGTCAACTAATGTTATTACATCAAATTATGTTTTAACTGAATAATTTTTGAGTTTTTGTCATATTGATAGATAAACAACTTAAAACATAATATTATTATAAACATTTTTATTCAATATAAGGGACATTCTTAAATATTCATAATGAAATCCACGTTTTTAATATATAGACAATAACTGTTTACTGTCTTTAAATATCAGCTATATTTGTACGAGGCTAAGAAACAGGTGTAATGCTATTACTCCTGTTTCGAGCAGAGTACAAATACAGATGATAACTAAAGACACTAAACAGTTATTGTCTTTATCCTGCAATTAATTGTATACATTGCTTTTGCTTTGAAAGACAGAAAAACTCACATTTATTGCATTTATTTTCGATTTGAAATCCTTTAAGACCTGCGTAGAAATATTTAAAAAATCGCACTATCAGCTGATGACCGGTACGCCGAAAAGAATCTTGCATGGTCAACAATAATACATCGCTCAAAGTTCGTATCATAATAAACCGATTGATTGATTGTTGGTTGCATATATAATAAAACGAATCCTAAACTTTAGACTTGTTATTTGTGTTTCTGAAAACCTTGGCTACTTGACTATATACAGATAATATAAATAAAAACAAGATACGAAACATTTGGCTAGTTAACCTTAGTTAATTTTGCTGTTATATGCAGTATCTGGAACATTGTTGGCAGTAGAAACTGTAAGATGAATAAAAAAGAAAAAGCGTGAAAACTGTTTCAAATATCAAATCCATTTCATGCCAATTTGCAGGACTATCATAAAAGCTTCTTGCAGTAAGTTTGTTTTGAAGTATCACCACAAAAGCATCCAAAAAATCGAATATTTAAAGCCCATATAAAAGCAGATTCAAAAATGTTGATAAAAAGTAAAATAACAAAAATATCGAACTCAAATGGCAAAATCAAAACCCAAACACACCAAACGAATGGAAAACAACTGTCATGTTCCTGGCTTGGTACAGGCATTTCCTTATATAGAAAATGGTGGATTAAGCCTGGTTTTATAGCTAGCTAAACCTCTCACTTGTATGACAGTCTCATAAAATTCCATTTTATTGGAACAGATATAATAGGTAAAAATGTCAAAAATTGGGGAACAACAGTCAACATTGTGTTACAATATTAATCACTACAAAAACAAACAACTATGTCAACAAAGAAAAACAAAAAGACATATAGACAAAGCACATAAGCAAAAAAAAAAAAAAAGAAGACAAGAATAAAAAAAAGACCACAGGACAATAACACAATGGTGGGATGTATAAATAACGAGCAACGTCAAAAGGATGTTACCAAAATAAATGAACATTTCTTCTAAATGTATTTTCTTAATTTGTCTCTATTTTATTTTGACAGCAGTCAGACAGGACCAAGCATCAATGTACATGGTTTTCCATGGGACTACGGTTATGATGTCACCGTTAACAAAGTATCGCACTACTGCTACTGTACCACTGTGATCATATGTGTTCTTTCCATCATGTTCAGCAGTGAATCCATATGCCATTTTATACGAGCCATCATTTATTGAAAAGAATGCATTGTTTGTAAAACTTATTAACGATGCCGATACAAGATATAAACCATTTGTTGTTATTGTGAACTTTCCATTGCTTGTAACACTTGACAAATCAACATTATAGCTCGTCCGTTTAAATTCAAATGGTATTGGTTGACCTGCTGATCTTGTTGATCCACCATCCTCACCAACACAAGCCGTAAAACCAACTGAAAAAAAATTATAAAGTTTATCTTGTATGAGCTGTAAGCCTTTTCAATTACCTTTATTCATACATGTTTATCACATGTTTACCGTCTGCACCTGTTTGTACATGTATATCTGTTTGTTGTTGATGTGGTATGCTGTTCTAGATCTATGTGGTATATTTGGCGATTTGTTTTATCCATGTTTGTGTATTATCTAGAGTTCATAAATCAGTCGTCACAATAAAAAAATAAATTTACCTTGCAATCAGAATTATTTATTATTACTCGATACGAAACAGGAGGAAAGCTCGGCAAGCCTTGCTTTTCGTCCTGTTTATATAAAGCTCGTACAAATAAGATCTGTATTTTCCGACAATGTTCATATATTGTATGTATATATATATATATATATATATATATAGAATATGTTTGTATTTCAGTTTCGATAAAAAAAAAAGTTATGAATAAATTGAATAGAAACTATCAAAGATTTACTCTCAACACCAAATTCGCCAATTTCCAAAACATTAAAAACATTAAATATGACACAAAACAACCACTGACGAGGTTCCTGACTTGGGACAAGCCCATAATTAATATGTGTCCGGTTAAAAGATCATACAATAAATCAGTACAAAAATAAAATACTTTAAAAAGTATAATAATAACCTAGCGCAAATATTGCTGATTCATTCGAGGTTGGTATAGGCAATGCGATTTTTTTTTCATAAAAGATTAAACAAATGAGTTACTCTTCAAGCACTGACCAAGTCTATGTGATTGCGAGTAGATTTTATGCAGAAACAAGTTCATGAAATGCGTATTTCAAACCTTTATGATTTAAGATTTGACAAATAAAGGCAACAGTAGTATACCGCTGTTCGAAACTCATAAATCGATAGAGATAAAAACAAATCCGGGTTACAAACTAAAACTGAGGGAAACGCATCAAATATAAGAGGAGAACAACGACACAACAAAAACACAACATTAAAATGTAACACACACAGAAACGAACTATAGATATAACAATGGCCATTTTCCTGACTTGGTACAGGACATTTTAAAAAAAAAATGGTGGGTTGAACCTGGTTTTGTGGCATGCCAAACCTCCCGCTTTTATGGCAACGTCAAACACAACACCAAAACGACAACATCACATGACAGGACCGCAATACAAATAAATGGGAGAACATATAGGACAAAGAAACACACGAATAATAGCTAGCAGAAGGTACTAGGCTTAAAATTCAATACGCCAGACGTGCGTCTCGTCCACACAAGACCAACCAAAATTGTATTCCATTGCAATATAAATAAAATTACAAAACAATTTACAGTTCTTTTTTTTTTTTTGGATAGTTTTAGGGTGTTTCGTAAATTATATTATAGTTTTTGTTGAAACCTCCGTAACAACCTGACAAGATGGCGCTAGCGACTGATATTGGTTCCTCGTGTTGATACTGCATGCGATACGAATTTTTCATTGTATTATTCTATATATATATATATATATCTCAACAATATGATAAAGTATAAAAATTATATTTTTAACGAGGTCATTGTTGGGAACCGCGTATTCAAATAAGTTCGTTATTTTGGGCAATTGTTATAGATAAGTTAAATTATTAAAAAAAAAGACTTTTTATAGTTTGTATAAAAACTTTGGAGAGTACAAAGAATCATTTTGAATAACACGTATTAATTGATATATAATAGACAGCTGATTTGGCTATAAATAAGTTAACTGACATCTACTGTATATTGAGCAATATAAAACGAATATCGAATGATGTCCAATTGAAAATTTATTCTTTAGTAGTCGGACATGATTGTACCCACGCAGTTGACAGGTGCTGATCCAGGAATTTGAAAAAAGGGGGTCCCCAAGTTAGCCATCGATTGGACTGATGCTGTATAAAGCATATGCATTTATCATATATGTAGCTCCAAAAGGGGCGGGCCCCTGTCCCCAACCCCTAAATCCGCCTCTGGTTGACCTTAATGAATAAAATAGATAAAATATGAAATTATCTTAATATAATGCCCTTGGTGTATGGTCAAACCGTAATATAGACAGTTGTTTTATCTAAAATGTGTTTCACTAGAGACTTTATAAGAAGTTGATTCGGAAGCGATAATCAACTTGGGACTTAATTATGACATTTTTCGAATCCACTACTTCTCAATACTCTAATTCAGATGAAAAGTATATCTAAAAAAATTTATTCTTGTTTAAAAATTTGCACAATTCATTAAATATCTAGACCGATTGTGTTCTGCTAATTTGCAATTCAAGATGGCGGAAGACACCACATCTACTTTTAGAGGAAAACAGGGAAAAAAACAGACGAATAGCATTCTTCAAAATTTACAAGTCGAACTCATTTCATCGTGTATATAATCTATGATAAATCTGTTTCATTTCATTCATTTCTTAGAGCATTGACATACCGTGTTTCTCGTTTGTATCAAGACGACTGAAAGCTCTACTGATGTCTGAGGATATTGAGTTCTGACGACTTTTTACATGGCTTGTGTCGGAACGAATCGAAGTTTGTTCTCCTTCTAAATGTTGTAGCTTATTGTCGATAATAGACACTGAAAAAAGACATTGATAGAATTAAAATACAACTTTTGATTAATTCTTGAAAACATAGTCCCCGTTTTGGTGATTGCCCTTTTCAAATAGAACAATTATGAAGGAATCATCAATTGGAGACAACAGAAGCTTATGATCTGTTCAAGACCCCGAAATGTACCATTAATTAGCAACTCTATTTACCTAAACTATTAGGTTGATCATTGTCATTTTGCTTAGTTTCTTCTGTTATCTATTCTAGCATCGGACTATAACTTCTTTTAAACTAAGCTTTACTGTGCGTATTGCTGTGTATTTGTTTATTCAACATTGGATAGAGGTATACTGGGAGGGTTGAGATATCACAAAACATGTTTAGCCCCGTGGCATTGTTGGGTGTGATTTTTAAGTTTTGGATCATTTGTATAATTCGGAATTTCGCTGAACAAGTATTCATTATTGTTGAGGGTACAGCTGAAGCAGCCTCCCTCCGGGTGCGGTATATTCTTGCTGCGTTAAAAACCAGTTGATGGCTTGGGCTGTTTGTCTGCTCTTTGGTCAGATTGTTGTCTCTTTGACAAATTCCCTATTTCCTTTCTATATCAAGTTTTTTTTCTAAATTAATTACTTATAGTGATTTTATTTTAATATGATTGTACGATTACACCCCTAACCATCCCCCCCCCCCCCCCCATAAAAAAAAACCAAAACCAAAAACAACAAGAAAACAAAATGAGCCTAGTTCTAGATAACTAGTATTACCGGCCGGTTCATGCAGCATACACTGAATGACGGTGACACCAAATATTCACTTATTCTCCTTGTCAAATAGGTAGATGTTGAGGCTCTGTGCACCTGCAACAGTTTTAACTTCCAAGTCAATTGGTGTCTAGTGGAAAGCTGTAATATTGATAATCGGACCACATATTCTTATTTTTATATTCTGGTATGCCAGGAACTAGATCTGTAGTTGTAATATTTGTTATGTGTGATTGATGCTTCTGTTGGACATGTAGCGCCGTTACTGCGTCTGGTGGTTTACCTAACGTAAAGTTTCTAAAAGTTAGTGTTCTCTGTAGATGAACTACTTAGATCGCCAAAATCCGCCTCGTAAATGGTTATGTAAATGTTGACAGTACGTTCTCTTTAAAATTTGAGAACGCACGAATACGTAAGGTATGATTCGTTTATATTTGAAACAAGATAAAATCTTGTTTAATAAATAATTTATCTTACTTTCGTGTTTTTGTAATTTTAGTTACCTCACCTTTTTGTTCATTTGCAGATATTCTATTGACAGCCAAATCAATTTTTGATGTCATTGATGCTTGAAAATTTTTCAAGAGTTGAATATCATCACGAGAGCCAATCAACTGTAATTCCAAAGTTTTCAATTCATCTTTAGCTTCTGCTGTGAAATTATCTTTGAAAAATACAAAAACACAACCCTCATCAATCAAAGCTACAAATTTTACAAAAAAAAAATTAAAAAAAAAAAAAAATAAAAAGGTTATGCACTTTATATATAATACCATTGAAAGTGTGTAATGGGATGAAAGATCTTCATAAGTGATTTGCCATAGATTAGACATTGACAATGTTTATTCCACACATCTATATCTAGCTATTATATATATAGAACAACATATATAAAAAAAAATGCGCTTATTCTGATCAGGGAAATAGATAAATAAATGTACAACCACAGGTGCAGTTTAATCTTTCGAAAGTTGAACGCTTCCAAAACTGTGTATTTTTGTTGAGGTATAACAGTGTTCACCGATTCGCGTGTCAAACTCGTTACACCTCTTAAATCTATATTAAAAAAATAATCAATTCTTGAAATTAATTTAAAATAAAAAACACAACAAAGGAAAGAGAACGAAACTGTGACGAAAACAACTGAACAGTTGAACTTAATCATGGTCTTAATTACTAATTGTAAGCGATATTTTTATTCAATTTCTATCATCCAAAACATAATAGCATACAATAAGTGTTAGTAAATCATTTTGAATTTGTAAAAATCATGACTTCGAGTTCTGGTTTAAAAAAAAAAAACAAGATTTTATAATTTAGAATCTGCCCGGGTTAAAAAAGGTTGAAAAAATCTACCAAAAAATACATGTAGGTGGTACAGGCTTCTGTAAGCATGGACAATGATCTGATGTCGTCTTCATAATGGCGAAAAAATACTTGATAATTATTTTTACTCGCATGTGTGTGTATGTGTGTGTGTGTGTGTGTGTGTGTGTATGTGCGTGTGTGTGATGAGGCATAGATGATAAACATGTTTTCAATAAGGAAGCTACATTAGCAGCATTCAAAGAAGCAAGATAGAAATAGATTAAAGACAAAAGCTATAGTTTTTTGAAAAGGTATTATTTAAGATTAAATTTTTTATGGTTTGAGGTGGTAGTTTGGGATTTGTTAAACATAATACAATTTTTCTTTTTAAAGTTTATCAAACAGATATTGGCAACATTTGTTACGAAGAGGGACACACACTACTTTTTAAATAAAATAAATGGTAAACAATTAAGGTATTTACTTGAATATTCTGGTGCAATCTTTGAATCTTAGAACGAAATCAGAACATCTCTGGGCTAAACAAAAGTGAACACTTTAATAACTACAGATGGAAACACGATATGGGACATGCTTAGAAATCATTCTGTATTCTTTAAATTTTAGAATGTGAAGAAAGCAATATTATTAAACAAAATCACTTGCAGAGTTTTGTATAAATCGTCTGAAAATGAATTTAAAAAAAAAGAAAGACATGCATATATTTTTTTAAAATTAATTTACATGTGTAAAGAAAATGTTCATTTTAAAGTTCGAAAGTAAAATTTTATTAAATTGAAGGAAAGGAGATGTTTAATCACATTATATGTTTTATATTTCACTTATTCAAATAACTAAATGATATGTGGTTCATTCATTCGATTTGTCTATTTGCTATTTGTAATGTTTATATTTTCCAGAAAATAATTATGCAAATGTATAATTCCACCATTAATTCTAGTTGTCTGACCTGTTATAAACATCATTTATCTTGTTCCTACGCAAAACAAATCATTAACAGAGAATTTGTTATAGCTAAATTCTGCCAATAAAAAAACTATTATACTCTTGAGATCATCCGCAGTGTTTGGTGGGTTTCATGTTTCCAAGTTATTAGTTTTGTGTAGTGTTTATAGAATATTTTTTTGTGCTGTGGTTTTTTTTTTTCTCTTTCGTTTTTTTCTTTGTCATGGTTTAAAACCATGACGAACAAAAAAACGAAAGAGAAATTAAGTCGGTTTCTCTACGACTGATGAATTTTGATTGTAAGATAGGTATCCACAGCTCCTGTTTTAAACTGTGCTTCTAAACGTCGTGTGAAATGATTATACGATTTAATGTCGAAATTACACATTACTTTATTATTAAATGAATGACTTCACCTTTTTCTTCTTTTGTAGAAATTACCGATTCTTTATAACGTTTCAAATGCTGCACTTCTGTAACAACTGCATTCTGTTGTCTTCCTAATTTCTTCACTTCAGCGACAATTTCGGACGTAAAGTTACCTTTCGTGACAATGAAAAAAGATTATTTTTAAAGAAATGCAAGAAAAGGGTTAACTTCTACATCAATTCCAATATTTTACATTTATTTCTTTTTATTTTTCTCTTCTCTTTTTTTAAACTCCACTTTGCTTTATAATATCTAGTTCAAACTATAAGCTTCACCTTTTAAGTACAGTTTCTGTTTCCAGGTACCTTTATAAAAGAAATATAATATTTCCAATGTTTTATCTTATTTCAGTCATATTATTTGATTAATATTTATGGCGTTACAAATAAATTTGTTATTCTGCCAGAAATAGTGTAATACCATTCATTGTATAAGTTATATCTTTATGTTTTTGTTATTTGGAACATATAGTGTTAATGGTTTGACACTTTCTGTTTAACTCATTCTGAACCTCTTTAAAAGAAATGGGACGCTTAAAAGGTTGAATTATTGCAGACTACAGATAGAATGTTGCAATGTAGATGTCTTTTATGTTGTTTTTTTCTTCGTTTGCTGGCTGACTCTTTTGTTTATACTTCAGGAATATAAAGACGTATTTAACAGATCACAAACAACATTTTCCATATTGATTTAGTTTTCGCCACCAAAATCAACATTTTTTATACAGGAGTGTGCTCCTGACGCAGAAACTGCTCCAACAAAGTTATGAGGACAGATTAAAAATGACACTCCGTAAATTTTACGGACACCATCACGAATTGGTCGATTCATACGATGTGTCTTTGTCCAAACTAACTAAGGACATTTTTACCACGTGTTAGATTGTGGTTTGACATTACGTCGTCTGATCTTTTAATTACCAAACGTGACTTATTTCCGATTGTGACTGTTTTAGTGAATTCGCATTGCTATAAGACGTGTCACGGTACTTTCCTATCCAAAATTCATGTATTTAGTTTTTATGTTATATTTGTTATTCTCATCGGATTTTGTCATATTAATTATCTAATTACTACCACATTTTATATTAATTAGTATTGTAATTTTCATTGTTATTAATAAATGTTATATGAGTATTATAAACCTAATCTTGAATTCTATCCTAATTCTATCCTATTTTGGGGAAATTTCAGAAATTCAAATGTGACGTCACTTTTTTTGCGTTGATCTCTTTGGCTAACTCGGCTGTGAATTTTTATGTGCTGGTTAATGTTGTTTTATGTATCCGTTTTTATTATGTAGTTAGTCACCACTTCGGTTTTATCATGTATATCTATTATATAGTCATTTTTATAAATTTACTGTTTGCAAAAGTATGAATTATTCTAAATACTAAGGATTTTCTTATCCCAGACATATAACCTTAGCCGTATTTGGCACAACTTTTTGGAACGTTTGGTCCTCAATGCTCTTCAACTTTGTACTTGTTTTGGCTTTCGTACTTTTTTGATCTGAGCGTCACTGGTTAGTCTTGTGTGGACGAAACGCGCGTCTTGCGTATTAAATTTTAAACCTGGTACCTTTTGTTAGCTATTATTCGTATGTTTCTCTGTCCTATATGTTCTCCCATTTATTTGTATTGTAGTCCTGTCATGTAATGTTGTCATTTTAATGTTATATTTAACATTGCCATAAAGGCGGGAGGTTTGGCTAGCCACAAAACCAGGTTCAACCCACCATTTGTTTCTTAAAATGTCCTGTACCAAGTCAGGAAAATGGCCATTGTTATATTATAGTTCGTTTTTGTGTGTGTTACATTTTAATGTTGTGTTTCTGTTGTGTCGTAGTTCTCGTCTTATATTTGATGTGTTTCCCTCAGTTTTAGTTTGTAACCCGAATTTGTTTTTTTCTCAATCGATTTATGAATTTCGAACAGGGTATACTACTGTTGCCTTTATTTAGACTGGTTTGTGTTATCCATTTTTATTTATCCCGATATTTTTTAGTTAAAAATTCAGATCAGAAAATTACGACACACTGGAGTCGACATTGAATGTGTCAATTCATGACTGAAACAATATGTAGGGTAGAAACATTTGAGTTTTTATAGGGTTTTTGATGCACAATATTTTGTTTTCGGAAGTGTGTTTTGTAAACTTATGTTTTGTCTTTATTTTCTTAGTTTCATAATTGTCCCACCCCCTTTTTATATCTTGGATAACATTTGTACTAAGTTCTATTGTTATTTTCTTTAAAGCATCCTGCTACAAATTTCCTACCTGATCTTTCATTTTCTTCTATTGTACGAGTTTCCATTTGGTTTTGTTGACTCTTCATTTTGTCTATATCTTTGCTTATGTTTTCAATTCTGTTATGCATAACTAAACTTTCTACAAGAAAATATATTTCTTTCATACTTTATATATTGACATGAAATATTTATTGTCTCTTGGTAATCTGTAATTAGAAGGTCGGTGGTTCTCTCAGGGTATTCCGGCTTCTTCGACCAATAAAAACTTACCGCCACGATATAACAATAAAGTAGCGTGAAACACCAACAATCGATCAAATGATCATAAAATTAATTATTAAATAATACATTTGAATACAAACTCGCTATTGCAGAATCTGAATGACTGTGCAAAAAATATTGTTACTAACCCAAAATATTACGAAAAAGTATTAACAAAAATACCACTCTTAAGGTAAATCCAAAAAGGGTGAAGTCCATTAAACTTGACAAAATCAAACGTTAGACTATAACAACCAACCGTCAAATTCCTAACTTGGCACAGGCATTTTCCAAAGAAAATAGTGGGTTGAACCTGGTTTTACAGCTAGCTACATGTAAACCACTTGTATGACAGCTGTTTATAGTACCGCTATAGTCACAAAAATGGGTGAGCAACACAAACAAACATACTCGAAACGATCCAGAAACAACAAGGGCAATCGCATAAACAATTTGAAGATTCCTGTAAAAGTCTCGAAATGTCTTGAATTAAACGACTAAAGACAGCATATCCTCTGGGTCTAAATGACAATATAATGGGACAAGGGAACATATCTAAAACTTCTATTGATATCATGAATATTGTTGATAAAAGGCAACGTAATAATAGGTCCAATGGCCAACGTATCAATCGAAATCAACGAATTAAACATCGTATAAATTATCCACTTGATGGTCTCCATTCCATATTAAAAAAACAATGGTAGGCATCAATTATTATGTAAACTGGGTCAAATACCATCTAGTAAATTACATGACATTATCAAGGAGTGAGACACAATCTTATTCTTCAGCCCACTTTATGAATACTCGCGTAAAATTACAGCTTTTTGCCACCATAGGCTGTGCCCGCGTATCAATAAACCTAAAGATCATAAGCGGCATTTTCTGAAAATTAAATATATTAAAAGAGGTATTCATTTCATCAACTTATCGAATATATTTAATGACTCTACTATTCAAAACTTTATACCTCCCTATTTTGATAACACAGAACCACCTATTATTTCGCGTACATAAAAAAAACCAAAAAAAAAAAACCAGCAGAAGTTTAATTTTTAATTATACACCACTAACATCAAACGTAAGTGTAGAAAATAGAACTCCTCTAACTTGAGACCGTGAATCGTCGAATTTTAGATATGATCCCTATGGCCATGTTATTACGGTGGACCTCAATATCGTTCAAGACCGAGAGGTTAAAAACTTTTTGAAAATATCGTCTTCCATCTAAAATAGATTGGAAACAGTGTCGTTTACTAGTTCCATGAAAATGGACGTCACACTAAACTCCAAAACATATAAATGAACTAAAATTAAAAAAACAAACAAGACTTACAAAGGCCAGAGGCTCCTGACTTTGGACAGGCGCAAAATTGCGGCGGGGTTAAAAACTGAGTTTTACTGTGCGTATCGCTGTGTGTTTCTTTATTCTACATTGGCTAGAGGTATAGGGGAGGGTTAATATCTCACAAAACATGTTTAACCCCGCCGCATTTTTGCGCCTGTCCTAAGTCAGGAGCCTCTGGCCTTTGTTAGTCTTGTATGTTTTTTAATTTTAGTTCATTTATATGTTTTGGAGTTTAGTATGATGTCCATTTTCACTAAACTAATAAACATTTTTATTTAGGGGCCAGCTGAGGACCACCTTCGGTTGCGGATTTTCTCGCTGCGTTGAAGACCCATCGGTGGCTTTCGGTTGTTATCTGCTCTTTGGCCGGGTTGTTGTCTCTTTGACATATTCCCCATTTCCATTCTCAATTTTATTTGTGAGAACTCAACCCTCCCCTATACCTCTAGCCAATGTAGAATAAACAAACATACAGCAATACGCACAGTAAAACTCAGTTTAAAAGAAGTCCGAGTCCGATGTCAGAATAGGTAACAAAAGAAACTAACCAAAATGACAATGATACATAAATTAACAAAGGACTACTAGCATGCAGTTACTGACATGCCAGGTCCAGACCTCAATTAAACTGATTGAAAGATTATGTCTTCATCATATGAAAATCAAGCACAATCCCTCCCTTTAGTGGTTTAGTATAGTTTGGCATAATTTATGACAGATAAATTAACATTGGCGCCACCTCTCGCCCACATATATGTTTCACCCAAATTCGAGATCATGAATCATGAAAAAAAGATAAAAAAAGGTGACATATTTCTAGAAAAAAGGCCTAAAAGGAAATCTATTAATATTTCAGGCTAATCTATACTATTAAATTTGGAGACCAAAAGTTTTTAGCCGCACTACTCAAAACAAAAAGGAAATATAACAAACTCGAAGAAATTTGTTTAATCATTAGATTGTTTTCTTCTTCTCTTAGTAAACTCCTCCTTTCTCGGAGCACCCGTGTCACAAAGAGACAGAACTGGCACCACTCGAAAAAAAAATACTACAGACTTGCACCACTGAAGAAATGTTTTAAATCATCAGAGAGTTCTAGATTGTCTTCTCTTAGTAATTTCCTCCGTTCTTTGAGCACCCGTATCACACAGAGACAGAACTTGACTCGCACCTTTCGGAAAAAAAAAAGAAATACTACAAACTAGCACCACTGAGAAATGTGTTAATCATCCGTGTTCTAGGTTGTCTTCTTCTTCTCTGATTTATTTCCTCCGTTCTAGGAGCACCTGTGTAACACCAAGACAGAAGCTACTAATCGGACATTCAAACCCTATGGAAGAAGAACTGACAAACTAATCAAAACCAGAGGCGGATTTAGAGGGTTTTCCAGGGGGCCTGCCCCCCCCCCCTTTTGTGGGTTTTTCTAATATAAATATAAAAGAAGAAGCAAAACACAATTTTCCTTATACTTTCAAAAATAATACATTTGGCGATACATAGACATTATATGTACTAAAACAATGATTTTCAATAAATACAACTTGTTCATAGGTAGGGCCGTTAAGTGGGGTTACTGGCTCTACTCCTTTGCGGTGTATGGTACCCTTTTTGTGGAGGAAAGCATTGTTGATTTTTCTTTCACATGTTTGAAATTTTCCATGTGGTATGGTTAATCTAAGGGTCAATTCCGTTGTTTGTATGATTTATTACTTGAATGCTTACATCCTTTGATATGCCGACAAAATTTAGGTAAAGTATGTTTGCATTCAAGGATAAGTCTCTTATTGAAATTAAGTTTAGTCAAAACAAACAGTAATTATAATTTGATCAAGTAAGTTTAGTCGTTAATTAAAGTTCAAGGTCATATTACCATTTTTCTGTTTGCAAAAAATACATTTTTTTCTTTCTTTTTCTTTTTGAAAGATTGATAAAAACCGTTTGGCTCTTGTTGAAAGCTCATTTGGGGGGTTGGTGGGTCCATTAGGATGTATAAGATGTATTGCTGATGGTACATTCAAGTAGTGTCGTCACTTGCTTTCATTTCGACCCCCTTCCCCTTTTGGCTCAAACAGATTCTCTTCCAAAACACATGTCACAATCTTGTGTGTCGTTTGGTCGTTTTTTTTTTGTCGTTTGTCGCATAAAGGTTGTTGTGTGCCAGTTTTCTATTTCATTCCTTTTCAGAGGACACTATATACAGGTTGACTAATCAAATTGGCTATTGTACAAACTTATGCGGTTTGAGTAAAACGAAATCTAATATATAAGTGTTTTGGGAACATTTAGTGACATTAAATTTTTTCCCCAACGATTTCCGGTAAAAAGACAGAAATGTTTATGTTTAAGATATGCAAAGGGTTTTTTTCAAAAACTTTTAAAAGTAGTCTTGCATTTTAAGTAATAGTTAGATTTAGTCGATAATAATTCATTTTAGCAATTATTTTATAGATTCTGATTTACATTTACCGTTTACTTTATCGTCTTCAAACATGTTGACGAATTCTTGCATTCTTTCATCTATATCTTTCTTTGCCTGTTCCACCCCTTGTTTGATCAGTTCTGATATGTGCACCGTTAGCTGTTTGTTAAACTGTGAAATATCCAAATTAGCAACAAGAGGTGCGTTTAAATGGTCCAAAAGTGGTACTGTTAACGACTTCGAGCATTTTCCGCCCTTGCATGTATCATTTTTCTCACATGATATATCTCTTAATATCAGACAAAATACGATTACCCCTATTCTATAAAACATAATATTCCTTTGAAAATATGCAGTGTATTAGGTAGGACTGCTCATAAATACATTAACAAGTTTTATCTAATGACCTATTTTACTAAGAGTAATTTGTCTTCCTTTCCCCATTTGAATGTGCGCAAAAGATGTTTACATTTCAAAGACTTGTAATTAATATACAGTTTTTTCCATATTTATACAAGATCAAATTCAGGAAGTAAACAAGTGGTAAATTCCTTCACATTGAAAACATTAAACAGAAAAATGTTTTGATGATGTTTTCAAAGGACACGGTTTTAAGAGTTATCACTTAAATCGAACATCAAACGTTTTTTATCTTAGATTCTTCCTCATAACTAAAGTTACTGGATGGAGGGCACGGTTTAACGAATGTCTTACACAATTTAGAAGATAAATGTAGAAAATATATTATCAAAAAGACAGTCGTAACTTAATATATGCTATTGTAATTACTTATATGAAGTTAAAATTGAAGTAATAGTCGATTATTTGGGAAAACTGATATCACACGACCGGGGCCCTGGATATATATGATCTAACATTGTTGGGCTGTTATTTAGACGAATAATGTATACAGAATGTGTTTTCAGCCTTGTATCACCATCACGGGTGATCCGATAATAAAATCGGTCGTAGAGTTGTTACTGGTTCAAACGTACTTATAATATAATTATTTCTGTGACTGCATCCTACATTAATTTGTAAGATCTTCTACGATAGATAATTCAGCTGATCTGTAATATTCCATCTTCATGCCTTATAATCATGTTCTGTGTTACGACGCTAAATAAAAACTGACGAGGAAAGGTAACACCCGGCCACCGAAAGCTTGATTTTTGTCGAGCCTAGGTGGCGAGTGGTCTAGCGCGTCGGGCTGAGTGCAAGACGATTTGGTGCCACGATATCTCAGTAGCATGAATTCGAATCCCGGCCAGGGAAGTACAAAAAATCTGGTTCCGCAAATTTACAGATCTAACATTGTTGGGCTGTTATTTAGACGAATTATGTATACAGTTGAAGTCATCCCTACCAATTTGGTTTGGTGACGACATCATGCTTGGTTGACCGTTAAGGAATATTTATGTCACAGATGACCAATGTTCAAATTGTCGTCTCTTTGTCCCCAATTCAGACATCCTCGAATGTTACTTATCATTGATTTTCACTTGTCATGAACAACAGGTCGGATGCACTGGTGGAGCACCTGCTACGGTTTTTGATGGGTTTTTGTGTTGCTTAGTCTTTTCTGTACAGTGTTGTTTTCTTTTCTTCATTGATATTTTTGACCATCGTGTAGTCTGTTTTTCTTCAACAAATGGTAGTTGATTGTCTCTTTGATAACTTTGACATCTTCAGCCTTTTAATGAGGTTTGAGCACACTTTTCCCTGCATATGTTCCAACCAGTAGATTTGATAATTATAATTTAAATTAACGGACAAAATTTTACGGTATTTTCGTCAATACGGCAGCAAAACATTACAGAGGGAACAAACACATTTTTTGAAGCAATGATATATAAAAAAACTATAGCTACAATTTCAAGTGGCCATTGCAATCTTTTCTCTTTATATTGGATTCTCAAATTGCGAAAGTCTCCAAATAAGCAATGGAATGTAGAATATATAAATGAATTTGAAAGCATTTAATCAAACCTCTCTCAAAACCGTCTAAATCAATCTTTAAAAAATGCATGCATAAATACTAAACCAAGTCATCTATGCACGTTTTCTACATTTATTACTAACTCTATACGTATAATCGGCAAACATTTTTGCATTCAGTGATTGTTGATAAAAAACTTTCGGTTATAATGAACTTTCGGCTTTTGTTGTCGAAGTTTGCCGATCGTGATCTAAATACGTAATCAGCCCATAATCATGGAGCACGTGTAAAATAAGTTAGTTGATGGAGCGATGTTAATTTTGATTTATATTTCCATGCGTTTCCATGTTTCATTAAGACTTTGTCATAACAGTTGTTAATGTATTTGGTGTATTATTTTTTTCTTTCAAAATCAATTAACACCGACTACCTTCCAATGAATGTTTGCTTATCTATTCTTTTATCACGGGTTTTCCTTCACACTTGCGCTGTGCAGTTGCCAAAGTTACAACGAGATGTCTCGTGGTTAAGGTTGCTGCATACGGAAAAGCTGTCTGTGAATAAGAGTACTGGAAGACAATAATTCAATAGTCGTACATTTTTTGAAGATTTTAATTAGATAAATGATTTTCTTTTACAAGAAAGTGCATACTACACTTGTTTTATAGTAAGACTTAGCCATCCAAGCATATAAAACATTTTCAACTTGTAGTTGATATCGTATTGCTGATAGGTTTTTCTGTTAACAGATTTTTTTTTTTTATCTCAGTACAGTTATCGACAAAAAAGCACACATGGGAAAAAAAAATCCTCATTAAAGGGCAATAACTCCTATAAATGGTGGGATGACAAATTCGGTATTTTGACCTATTTATAGATTTGTTCCTAAATACTATTATTTTTTTCACAAATGCAAAAAAAAAATGCTCAAAATCGTCATTTGATTGCAAAACTATTATAAGGAGTCGACTGACAGATTCGGTTATTTAAATTATTGATATCTCCTGTCTTACTGATAATTTTTACAGCTTGAAATATCTGTTATAGTTTTCAAGTTAATAAGCGAACCCCTTCCTAATGGTAAAATTTCTCATTTCACGGCTAACACTCCTATAAGGGGTCGACCGTCAATTTCAGTAATGTCGACTAATTTGTAGACCTTGTCTCACTCATTGGTTTGCTATTAAAAATTTCTCTTTATCTGTTGTAGTTTTTAAGATAAAAGTCAAAAACACAAAAATGAGTAAAATTAATCAATTAAGGGGTAAATTGGCGATTATAGATCATAGATTGAATTGTAAAGTATTGTGTGCTGATCGTTCTTTAGTGGAAAGTTTTTTTTCCAACCAATTATAATTTTCGAGACATAAGCAAAAACATATGTTTGGCCCTATGTTATATGTTTTGTCACAACCGCAATGTTGGTTTGCAGACAGGGATGAATTCTCAAATTTTAATTTTTGACACCCTAAAGATCATTCACGTCAACATTAGATGAAATTCATTCAGAAGTTTCAGTAAATTTTTGAAAAAGTTTACGACGACGGATATCGAGTGAAGGCAAGTTGAGCTGTACAAAATATCCTCTTTACTAAAGTTACAACATTTTTGAAACTACATCGATATAAAACATGATTTTTAAACACATTGCAATTTAATTTCCATAATTCATTGAAATAACATGTCAAAGCTTTAAAACATCAGTATAAATAGCTAAAGTGAGAATGTGTTTGTGTTTTTAGCACCTTGTCATAAATAAATCTTGTTCATAAAAAAAAAAAAAAAAAAAAAAAAAAAAAAAAAAAAAAAAAAACAGAAGAAAGCGTCGAGTTGTTTGCCTTTTCTTTTATTGACCCGATCGTTCTTAGTTGGAAAATTGGCATTCCTTCGGGCAAAAAGTTTGCACCACTATTCTATTTCTGGGACAAAATTATTTACTATACTTTTATACTACGCTGTTAACCTTGTTTTAAATCACAGGTAACCAGATTTGATTTCCTTAATAAAAATGTTTTATTCTCGGGTTAACTTCTTTTATCTTGGGTAAAAATATCTTATTCATTTGTAAACATTTTGTGACATAGAAATAATTGGATTTTAAGAGGTTCCGTTTATTGTCATGGTGTCTTCAATAACCGTAAATTAATTGTATTTCGTAGGATATAATTGTTCCTGGTTTGGATCAACATAAAAGCTAGCAATTTGGTGCACAAAAAATATCTGTTTCATAAATGCAAGTCAAAATCATAGATAACTACTGTTGTTTAAAGATCCAGGGATAACATTATATGGCAAGGACATATTAAAGCTCAAGCATTTGCAACATATGAACTGAATCTGCATTGAGGCATATTAAATTCAAAACCTCGAGCAATCCTGCTGAAAATTAATCCAGAATAACAAAATATTAAATAAGAAGATATGGGTTGTTTATTATCATTATCATTCTTTAAAACTAAATAGTCAATGTTCTCCTAGACTTTTATAACAATCAGTATATATCTTAAACGGATTTCGTTGTAAGCACAAGAGGCAGTATAAGGAAAGCCCAATCTTGTACAATCCCAAAAATAGAAATATCATCAGTTTGTAGGACCATAAGTGCAACAACAATTAGTCATTCAAGATAGGTTTTAATGTGATCAGCCTTTTATCTCCTAATAAATGGGGATCATGTTAACATTTCAGTCTGAAGTGTATGTGGAATCGAGTTTTTTTCCTCAACTTGTGTGTTAGAATGATCAAAATATTGATCATGGTGGATAAATTATAACTTGCAAAAATTAATTCTTATCCCACTTAAGCATAAAAAGCTAAAATTGTTGCTTTGTGCCTTAACGTAAATAAATGGGAGATTTACAAAATCAACGCTAGGAATATCATATATGCAAAGGCTGCAAAAGAGAAGTTGTGTCAAAGTTGACCATACTGGCCTGAATGAATTGTTCTTCATCAGACTTTCTTTTAAGCTTAGAACACTTGTATCTATCAGTAACTGCATGTACTGACTTGAGTATGAACCGATATCAATATCAATATCAATGATAAAGAAGATACAGACAGACACTAGGTCTCGTTTAAACAATTAAACTTTATGCTTCTCTTCTTTCTATGAAAATCAACAACACAATAAATTGTTACAGTTCCATCATACGAAGGAGCACAATAAGACAATCAAGCAAGCTATTTACATGTAAAAAATGCACAGTACATTGCAAACTTGTATCAGATTACACCCAAATAAAACGAGCATACATGTACAATTTGCCTATAAATTTGTATATATATCTGATCACGGAAAAGTGTATACTGTATATAAACATATATGCTGACAAGTAAAACAAATGTCAGGGATAGAAATTAAAAAATATCCCTGGTTACCCTACCAAGTTTGTTTTGGTATAAAATAAAATCAAGGACAACTAGCTCAACAATCCAGGTTGCCCAGCTTGACTAACGGTTGCCCTGCCATTTTCCAGGA